ACATACAAAAATGAGCCAAAATCCGTTGAACCCGAACTGACTAAATGGCAATTCCACATTTTTGTAAAAAAATTGCCGTGGCCTCGAAAGCTAGTCAACTGGCGTGCTCAAAAATAGGACGTTTAAATGCCCTGTCTACACTAGCCCCAAAGCTTTATTTCTAAACCTGCGAGCCAAAACTCGAGCAAACTCGGAACAGAATTCCGCGCAAACTGCCGAGCAAACTCGAGTGTCACTGGTACTGTCGAACCCAATCGTGAATTCTCTAGATGGGTACCATGTTCCCCAAGTGTTTGTCTATCTGCAGGATCACATTCGACTACCAAACTGCTCATTCTGGATTGGCTGAGTTATTCCAAACCATCTCAGCAAACTCGAGCGCAAACTTAGTTTGCCAATAAGGCTGCACGCCTAGACTTCTGCAAACTTCTGCAAACTAGTTTGCCGAAGTTTGCCAACTGGTCTACACTGGCAAACTTTGGAAAACTTTTCTTGGCAAACTCGGAGTTTGCTCGAGTTTGCAAACTAAAGTTTGCTAGTGTAGACAGGGCTTAATATGGGAGCATAGCAGTAACAACTATACCCAATTTCAAACATGTGGGCCAAACGGTTCCTGAGTTATCGTTGACCGTAGCGAAATGTTGACGGACGGACGGACTTACGACGACACATGGCAATAGCTCAGCTTGACGATGTCAAGGTGAGCTAACAAAAAACATTCAGATATATATTGCAAGAAATTCATCTACGAATATAAATAAATTTGTGATGTCCCATGCGTTTATTAATTAGGCAATAAGTTTATTACAGTTTGTATCTGATCGCGGCCGCATAATGTATATTTACCCATCATAGTTCCTGGTCGCCCAAAGCCCTTCTGGTCTTTTTGAGATGAATATGAACTTTCGCTCCATGCTGGCCTTTCTTCTTTCCAGTTCTTGCTCTTTGGATGTTGTGTTTTCTGTGGGGCATGACCAGACTTCTCCCACTTTCCACTAGAACAACCACAAAAGTAAACACATTCAATGTGACTACTATAATCACAGTAAACAGATCCACTCATAAGCAATGGTGTAGGGAGGAAGGGACGACAGAGGGAGAAGCATGCAAGGGAGAAACATAGAGACAAAAGGAGCAAGCAAGAAACAGAGAGAAAGAGAGAGAGAGAGAAAGAGAGAGATAGAAAGAGAGAGAGAGAAAGAGAGAGATAGAAAGCGAGAGAGAGAAAGAGAGAGATAGAGAGAGATAGAAAGAGAGAGAGAGAGAGAGAGAGAGAGAGAGAGAGAGAGAGAGAGAGAGAG